TCTGGCCCTCAGTGAAGATGATCTGTGGAAGGAAGCAAACAAATACCACCCAAGTAGCAGACAATGGTGGCTTGAACTTGAGATCTAAATTATAATGGGTAATGGCCTTTACGCTGAAATAGATACGTCAAGGTTGTGCCCATGGGATAAAGACAGAAAGACTGAATTTCAAAATGGATACTTGAAATACACACTCAGCCCACATTGTTTCTTCAGGGTCATGCAAACTAAACCTGCATGGCAAATTCAAATGTTCATTTGAATTAATGAAAGTACAAACAAAACTCATAATATTCCTAATTTTAAACAAAAACATGTTATAATATTCAGAGTAATTGCAAATTGCACAGTATTGTTTTATATCATTTTAAATAATACTAACAATGTTCTAAATAGCTTTATTTTTGAAAGTATTTTTGGAACTATTAACTGTATAGTATATAGCAATAATAGGTGAATGGAGAATACATATGCCCCACACAGGTTGCTTTCATTGTAGCCCTATTTTATGTAATATTCTTCTTTACCTGTGCATGAGCTCTCTCCTCCATTCCCCCCACACATCACTCTGACTGTGAACAAGTCTCACATAGGGACCAGATTCTGTACACTGCAGTCAGGGTCATGGTTCCACAGAGGAGAGAAAAGGCGCCGTCTGTACTTGAGCCGTAGCGTGAACCTTGTGACCTTTGAACCTTGACCTCCTGAAACAGAGGAAGACTGTGTTCCCACTGGTTCAAGACAGGAGATGCACTGTTAAAAAGTCTTTCCTGTAAATGTACTGAAAGCGTAATTTTGTGATTTTGATGATATTGAGTTAGGAGACTGTATTTGAACGTAATGTCTGTAACAATACTATATGTCAAGTGAAGAAATTGAGTTGGCAAAAGAAGGGGTAACAGGGAAAGAATGAGTATTTTCTTCAGATATTCTGCCAGATATCTTCTTCTGTTGTGTCTTTGGCCGTAACCAGATGGGAAGAATACACAATGTGATAAAATGCCTGTCAAGTCTTTTTGTTTTATGAATATAAAGCAGTCTGGCTGTGTAAAGATTAGAGCTTTTACAACACACATGATTGTTTGTGGTTTTTTTTTCTTGTAATGTGTGAATTCTTTGCTCAGTTGTGTTTTGCATGTCAGACTAAACATTTTTGAAACGTGAATATTACTGAAGAATACTGAGTATTCATTTTATAATGTCATTCAACACAATCTTCATTTGGCATTTTGTCTTGACTTTTTTCTGTCCTTTTCTGTCCAGGTGTCCTTAGCTGCAGCCACCCGTCAAGATGGTGGTGCTGTCGCTGAAGATCTGTGTTCGCCATTGTAACGTGGTGAAGACTATGCAGTTTGAACCATCTACAGCTGTGTATGATGCATGTCGAATCATCAGAGAGAGGGTCCCCGAGGCGCAAACTGGACAGGGTAAGAATCCAATATATTCTAAAATACAGCATTGCTTTAAATATTTGGTGGAAGGAAAATGTAATTGTATAATGTGAATTTACTAGTGTGTTTGATTGTACGTTCATGTTCTACCTTAAAAGACAGTCTTTGTTTATAGTCTTAATATTGTTGAGGAGTTGTTTGGCACATTACAGTATGAGGTAATCTTTTAGGGTTATTTAATTTGAAAACATTTGTGTCTTCCATTTCAGCCTCAGATTATGGCCTGTTCTTGTCCGATGAAGACCCCAGGAAAGGCATCTGGCTGGAGTCTGGCAGAACACTGGACTATTACATGCTTCGAAATGGGGTAAATGTCCTAATCTGTTTATCCACTGCACACAGGGACACACAGATGCACAAATAGACCGTCACTGGACTGTTTATACTGAGCAGTGTGTGGCCACAAGTTAAAAGAGTACACATGCACACAGGTGGTTATCATGGGAGATTTGCTTTTGACCCCAATGAAAAAATGCATAAGAGTGAACAGAACACAAACTAGATCCCAGAATGTATTAGTTTATTTTATGTATATATTTGCAGACTTGCCAAACTGTCCAAAGACAAGTAGTAACAATCAAGGGTTTTTGGAAAGAGTGAGTTCAAAGTTAGCCCTGAAACTAACTAGCTATTTACAAGAGAAAATGTTACTAGAATTGTAATTTTGGGTTGTAAGATTAGTGGCTGGGTCAGGCTAAATTTAAAGGGGGAGAAAAAGAATAGAAAAAATATCGCTATTTTGCTTAGACAAAACAGTTGAGTTTATACTTTTGCTTCAGTTAGTGACAACAAAAAAGGGGCTATTTGCACATATTCTTTTCTTTGCTCTATCAAGGATTTTTGCTGTGCACCTTCTTGATGTCTAGTGCCAACCTGTTCTCTGGCTGCCACTACCAAAACCGTGTGCCTCCCTGTTATTGTATTAAAGCGGTGTTCCCTCTGAGCATAGCAGGGTTTAAAGTTTTAAACTCTAAACGGTTTCCCTCTTCATTTGACCAAAGGCATCTTCAGGTGCAGGGCATGACTGTGACCAATTATTCTGAACCAGATCTTTTCATTGTTGAGACTAGGAGGGTGAAGAGAACTATGAGTGACAGCCCTTAAATATGTGTTCTTGGGCATATATATGTATTCTTCACTCTCATTTTAGTCTTTTCATTTTGTCAGTATTTTCCTAATATGAAATGTTTCCTCTTTGCCTCTGAGCAGGACATCCTTGAATATAAGAAGAAGCAGAGGCCACAAAAAATCAAAATGTTGGACGGAGCAGTTAAAACTGTAATGGTTGATGACTCCAAGACTGTAGGAGAACTACTTGTGACAATTTGCAGCCGAATAGGTACATGGTTAAAGCTTGTAGGATATGTAATGGCATTGATGTATTCATTTAGGTTTTCTAAATATCTTCTATTGTTGTAGGCATCACAAATTATGAAGAATACTCATTGATCCAGGAAACGGTTGAAGAGAAGAAGGAGGATGGCATGGGCACTCTTAAGAAGGACAGAACTCTGTTGCGTGACGAGAGGAAAATGGAGAAGCTTAAAGCCAAACTTCACACAGATGACGACCGTAGGTTCTTGAGAAAGCATATTATTTATATGTCATATTATTAAGCAATACCAGTCTTCATTTTTTTACAAATTAAAGTGGCTACATAGATACTGGCAGTGCATTTAGAGTTTTTATTGTATTTATTCAATATAAAAGACAGATGAATGTGCTAGCATGTATCTGAGCAACTTTGCTGAGCAACTTTGATTCAGTTTCAAAAAAAAAAAAGAGAGAGGGAGAGAGACAGATTAAATCATATTGTAAAAAATTTTCTTTGTTTTAGTGAACTGGCTGGACCACAGTAGAACTTTCAGAGAGCAGGGGGTTGATGAGAGTGAAACCCTTTTGCTTCGCCGTAAATTCTTCTACTCAGACCAGAATGTTGACTCTCGAGATCCTGTTCAGCTTAATCTCCTCTATGTCCAGGTAGGACACATTACCAATGCATTAGTCTTCTTTTATGCTTATCACATGACCCTGACTAATATTGTTATTCATGCCTTAAATTCCAGGCTCGAGATGACATTCTGAATGGTTCTCATCCCGTATCGTTTGATAAGGCTTGTGAGTTTGGAGGCATTCAGGCCCAAATACAGTTCGGACCTCACGTTGAGCACAAACACAAACCTGGATTCCTGGAGTAAGTCAAGTCAGCATACTTCAGTTTGAGCCAGCAGAAAGATAAACAGACATTTTAAGACTTAAAACTACAAAAACTCCATTTTAATGAAAGCAGAAAGATTTTTCCCTCACAGTCTGTATTTTTGTGTTTCTAGCTTAAAGGAATTTTTACCCAAAGAGTACATAAAGCAAAGAGGAGCAGAGAAGAAAATCTTTCAGGTATGGCCTCTCTAGTAGTACAATACCCTCAAGAAATAGTGGGGCTCAAAATTGTGTTAAAAAGGCACGCATCACATTTCTTTACACTTAAAACGCAAAACGTTTTTTTTTTTTTTTCCAAAAAATAAAACACTCAACACACAATTTCTACATCTTTTACTTGGTTTGATAAGTTTCTTGAGGAAACACTGTTGTGTATTAGTTACCTCCGCCAAGGAGGTTATGTTTTTGCCGGCGTTTGTCTGTTTGTCTGTTTGTTTGTTTGTTTGTGTGTTAGCAACATAACTCAAAAAGTTATGGACCGATTTGGATGAAATTTTCAGGATTTGTTGGAAATGTGAAAAGGAAGAACTGATTTCATTTTGGGGGTGATCCGGAAGAAATCCTGGATTCTGGATCACTTTGAAATTTTTGTTAACATTGTGGTAAATGGGGCCAAAAATTTAGTTTCTCAATATCTCGGTTAATTATTGACCAAACCCCATGAAATTTGA